TTTTTTTTCACTACTTCTCAGTTGCAGGGAACAGTGCAAGGTGTGGTCGTTGTTTCACAGATAAAAGGTTTAAATGGTGAGAAGAAGCACTGAAGAGGAAAAACACCTGATTATTTCAAAACATTTTTTACATAGCTCTGATGACAGAAAGAAAAAATACCATAAGAAAGACATTGGGATAAAGATAGATAATAAAAAAGTTTTGCTGTTTACAAGGAATAGCATTTTGCTGTGGGAAAAAAAACTGCTCCAAAGCTGAACTGTCTTTGCAATCAGTGGAAATTAGACACACTCTGGCTGTGAAATGAGTTCCAGCTGTTGAGTAAGAAAAAGTTGAGGGGATGAAAGCTCTTAATTGTATGACAGTTGATTTTAATGGCACCTCCTTGCAACTGCCCCGAACCATCATTCAACCATATTTAACCTACAGTTGGTTTTGAAGTGAGACTTGCAGTACATTTTTACATAATGTGCAAAAATATATTTTTTATTACTGTAACTTAGTCACAGCAACATTAAGTTAACACAGTTGCTATCTGCTGGGGAGATTTATCATCAGAATATATTATTTAAGATTGACAGCAGGGTGATGTGATAGGGAAAAGAAACGCATGCTATCAGCCCCTATATATATATATATAAAATGGAAGAACCTTTTGCAGAAGTGGTCACAGGCCTCAAACCATTCAAATAGTGCCAAGATTGCTGATATGTCCTATTTACCTTGTGGTAATGGATTTGTTTGCAGCCCATGTCCCCCCTCCTGTCTCGAAGGAATATTGGGGCTTTAACTGCACTTACTTTCTGCTGCCCTGGCTATTTATTTTGATTAGTGAATGAAGTCCTCTACAGGCCCTCACCAAGAATAATTGACACTGTGTCCTCTGAGGTCGCAAAAATATACCCTTAGTACTTATCCCCTTGGTGAAATGCCAGTGTGTGAAAAGATTGCAGCTGAGCACCAAACTGAAGGTATATTATTGCTTTAGGCTGCAACAAAAACCTGTTGGGGAAACTCGTAAATTATATTTCCTGTACCTTTTTCAGGCCTGACAGGATAATTGATGTGTGCTCTGGATTTCCAAATTGTTTTAACTATCCTATAGATTGTATATTTTTCTTTTGTTGTCAGTCAGAAATAAAATGTCACTGGGGAAGTCAATGGTTTGAGGTTAAGTCATGTGTGACATTTTTACTGGATATATTTCTGTTAAGAAACTGGATTTTGATTGAGGAAAAAAACATGTGATATGAAGTACTGTTTTCAATTTTTTATTGACGGTTTCTGATGGTCTAATTTAAAATGTATCCACAAACTAATTGATGTACTATGTACACTAGGTAAAAATTAAATGTTTTTTAGTTTTTTTTAGTGTGCAACTTTGCCCCCTTACTTCCACATTTCCACATTAGTCTCTAGAGGTGCCCTGACACATGTCCACTCCCACACCACGCCAACTAGGAATCAGTTGTGTGGGCAGAGTTGAGCGGAAACAGATGGCTGGCCTACAGAGGTTCCGATCACAGGAATATTGGCAAGATGTTGTGCGATGGAAATTAACCTTCAGAGGTTTATAGACTGCGGCAACCGTTGGCTCAGGCTGGATTGCTCAATGGCCCTCCTTTGCAATCTCTGTTTTTCCCCTAAACTCTTCAGATTGTCTCTACCTTATCTCACCTAATTTTGTCATGTGCCTCAATACATTTTGGCATCATTTTGGTTTAACAAAACTAGTCAATGACATTATTTTCCCAATGCATCTTAATGGTGATTTCCATCTTATAGACAAATGATCACACCAACTAGTTAATGCTTTCAACAGCTTCTTTTGTTTGGATTTCTCTACTTTTGGTCCCATTGCAGTGAAAACTAAAGGTCAAATCTTCCTACTGTCTCTGCAGCAGCTCTCATGTGATGTGCACACAAAGTCAGTGCAGTCTTGGCAGCCAGTGTCTGCTTTTATCTGGGTTTGTCATCACTGAACTGTGAGCCTGCTCGATTGAAGATCGCCATTTGGATCATCATCATCATCAGTCTGCTGCAGGGTATGGTGCCTGTCTTGCCATTGCACAAAAAACAGTCTTCACCCTTCTGTTGGCAAAAGGCCCCTGGGTTGTGCTGCTCACATACCCATAGCTGTCTATTTCATTTGCAGCTTGCGACCGCTCCACTTGCTCTGCATTGTGCCTTTAGCTCAGTCAAGCTAGAAATCCAGGAGGTGCATTGTCTGTTTGCTGAGATGCTTAGCTCTCATGTGCCGTATTAGCTATGCTGGCAGCCAGCTGTGATAGTGAATTTATGTTGGCACTGTCCTGAGCAAGTGAATAAAATCCCTTCCAGGTTTTACACTTAACCTTTTAAACTGTAATATAACTAATGATTAAACTATATTTAATTAATTCGACAGGACGTCCTAATTTGAGTTATTCAGACGTTTTGACCAGGATACTGAAGCTTTTACAGCAGTTTGAAATTTGTGGGATTGTGTTTTATTATTGGCTGCTTTTGGAGTCTTGAGGAAGATATATATATATTGAAATCAGGATTTCTTCACTTGTCTTAGAAATATTCAAATCTAAACGTTGAGATGATAATATTTGAGTGTTTTGTTGGAAGGCAAGTGTTTTTTTTTCATATCATGATACAATTTAAATTAAAAAATGTAGGAAATAAATAGTTATCTCTTAGGGATGGTTGTAAGTTAATACTCAAGTTGTTGTGAAAGAAAATTAAATTGTTTTTTCCAATTAGTCTTGATTAATCAATAAAAACTAATTACCTGAAAAAAAAAATTGTGAATAAACTGTCAAATTTGCAGTGGTTAATTTAACAATTAGTTAAACCAGTGCATTTAAATCAAAACCCAGTCAAATAGCCAATGGAAATAAAGACTATATGCCAAGAAATACGACACAAATTCTGTCCATTTACTTCAGTAAAAAGCCTGGCGGGACAGCGGCACCCATATGGATTCTGTGAATTAGGGGGATTATGTCTCTTTCTCTCTTTTGTGTATATGAATTAAATATAGCACCAATTATAGGAATCACCAATCCATCTAAGGAAGCACTTTTGTTGGTGGAACAAAGTTTTCTTTCGTTTTGATTTGGCACATAATATGCACCTGCAACATTACTTTTAATTATACTTGTTAGCTATTCACAGGAGTTAATGTGAAAATGGATGCATCCATGCAGACCATTACTACCTAAATTGTCTTGTAAGTAAAATTAGACTAAAAGTGAATCACAAAATACTAGAATTGATGAAGTGGTAACAGGTGGTTGTTTTATCAACACTGAAATGGAGCATCAAGAGCACTCACAATAAGTGTCTGCCTTCTTGATCAAAATAAAGTGCTAACATAATTTGATTATTTGAACACCATTATAAACTGTTGCTGCACAGAGTTGGTTACAGATTTCAGAGGTATGAAAATTAACTGTCTCACTTTTAAATTCTTCTCAGTAATGTTGACAACAAAGCCCCACACTACCCCACACTACCCCACACTACCCTTCATTTGGACACGTTTCAACAAGTTCAGCATCTTGAAAATAAAGCGCATGGGGGATGAGGCAAGCTGTCGTTGCAAAAGTGTGTAAGGCTGGGGGGATAAATGAGAAATGACTATTGCATAGTGTTGTGACTGGCTGGTTGGTTTTATAATTCTACAAAAACTGCTGAGAGACGAAGACAGAACATCTGCTCAACACATCTGAAGTGCAATCTCCGGTGAAAAATGAAATGTGATGACAGTTGAAGTTCCTCATTTGCCTTATTTTAGTCTACTGAGAAGCAGACATCTGTGCTGGTGTGACTGCTCAAGACGTTCAGGAATTAATTTAAGCCAATTTCCACCGATGCGCGAGAAACGAGGAACAAGGTGTAGATTTTTTTTTTTCCTTCTGTGGCATAATCTGTGAACATTTTGCGATATGTCATAAGCAATTCTACACATAAGACACTATGATACTGCTGAGGAATCTGTCCAAGTAACCTTCCATTTTAGTCTTGACTCATGGCTCTATTTTGGTCTATGGAATCCTTTTCCAAACATTGGGGGAGTGGCTCAGCTGAAATGGCTTTAAATTGATGCCGTGTTGGCACTTCTTAGCGTAGCAGGAAACATCAAACATCAGTGTACAACAATACATTATGACAGTATTATATTCCCTCTTTGAGTTAAAGCCCATGTTCAGTTTGAGATGTGATTTACAAAAACAAAGACCAGCAAATAACATGCCACTCACAGAACAATCAGGGCTGCACATCATCTTTGTAATCTTTGGAGTGTTTCACAGCCTTGGAAATGTAATCTCTATAACAGGATTGCTTCTCTCGAACCACTTGGTTTTGTTACATTTCAACCCCGTTATAAACTGAAATGGTGACTAAAATTTAGAATAGCATTTTATTAATCAAACCCAGGTATAATAGTTGATTTCTGCCATTCTCGCTCAGTGACGTTTCTTTAAAGGACAATAAGTTCACTTCTCGTATCAAAAGTAGTCTGAACAAGTCTGCGGTAACTGATTTTTTTTTGCCTTTAAGATTTTATTTATTTTTAAGTAGTGACATTTCTTCTTGCTTTTTACAGTAGCTCAGGATATTTTGTATTCTTTATCTTATCTAGATTTTCTACTGCGCTGGTTTTACTTGAATGCTGGCTGAAGTTGATCCTGTACATTTTGTTTTTTTGTTTTTTAGATTGGTGTACGTAATTAAGCTTTTCTATGGCCGATGTTTTGAGTCTCTGTAACACAGACACTATTGACACGATCCTTTCTGAAACCCGGTATCATCCCAACAGAGTTCTTTACCCTGAGTATAAATCCAACTCTTTACTTCAAATATCACTTTGTTCAAAAATTGTCCCTGCATTCACAGGAAGTCTTCATTAAAGTGGTATGCACTTGATTGTTTTCCTCATATCAGTAAAGCAATGACACACACACACACACACACACACACACACACACACACACACACACAGTCAGCTTCAACAGATTTGTCAACTGAATACATGAAAAAAGACTCTCTAATGTATATTTTGAACAAAATACAATTCTATGAATGGATGACAGTGCTTTGTTTGAGATGACCAACTTTAGAAGCCTTATTCTATTGTTAACACAAATGCATGAACAACGGTTGAAATACAGTTATTTACAATCCACTGCAATACACAGCTGAATTGATCTGAAATGAGGTTGAAAGTTGTAAAGGAAAAAAACACTGTCACTCGGGTGAACAAAATCTGTATTTAAAAACACAGCAATTTTGAACACACTGGACCTTACTTGTCAATGGTTCCCCTGATGATTCATTGTGGTGAGCAACAAAAACAGAAAAGGCAGAGAAATGGAAAGACATTCAAATGTATTGACTCAATTTCCCCTTGGAAACCCCCCCACCCCATCTCACATGCTGGACCAAGACTGGTAGGGGGTAAAATAGCTTCATCAGTCTTTTCAAGTCAAAATGAGGTGGAGGGAAACAAGTGAAACACTGGTGCATAACACTGACATTTTTTAATAGAATTCATTTATAACAAATGGAACTTGTGTCAGCAAAGAACTGATTTTCATACAGACTTCTTTTCGCCACCAATGTAACCTAAGTAAGAAAATAAAAAGCACTCCTTTCATTCAAAAAAAGAAACAGTTTACGCTTACAACTAATCAGAGGTAATTGTATGATCTTTTTAACAAGCCTTTTTTTTTTTTTTTACAATTTCATTATTTAATTTTCAGTCTATGCATCCAGACGAGATAGATAGAGAGCAGAGAACACAACGTTTATTTCTGTTAAAAGACACTCCAAGCTTGAATGGCAAAGCCACAAGAACAGATGGTTGGGGGAAAGATTTGTCTGAAGTAATCTGCTGGAGGAACCATGGCATCAAAATAGATGCTCTTTTTCGCCACAAACTTTTTTTTTTGTCTTTTTTCAAGGGTTGATACCTTTTTGTGTTATTTACATACACACAAAGTGAACTTTTGAGGAGATTCTTTTTTATAGATGGGTTCAAGTAATATATTATTGGGTTTAGAATCAAGAGGGCAGTGCATAGTACAAAGATAGAGAAAGTGCAAGTCTTCCTACTGGCCAGCCTTGGCCACTCTGCAATGTTTCACCATGCATATGAAAAATTAATATTTTAATGTAAAAGAAAGAAATCAAAATGTTCTTAGATTTGGACACAATGTTACATTATCCACAATGAGTTTAAATAACAGCACTTTTATATTTCAAAATGATGGAAAACATGACACGGAAATCATGGTAGAACAGAAACAAAAAAATATGCTGCCTTAGTTAACAAAGGAAAGAAAGCACCTGGAATGCACATCCCACAAAGCCATCAGAGAAGGTATGGAGAAGTTAAAGATAGTGCTTAAGATGATGGTTGAAATATGACAGATTTAAACCTTCTGTATTTAACAGCTAAGTCACAAAAAAGATCATGGCGCACTGTATAGGATTGTCAGAATATCAGGACAGATCATTCTCTCTCTGCATTTGTTTTCTACGGTGATGCTTACAAAGAAACCTTTCTGTGACAATTGGTGCAATATGCACCCTTTCACCAAATCTATTGGAATTGTGTGCTTATCTTAACTGTCTTCCAATATAACCCAAGGAACAGCTGGATAAAAGCTGATTAAATTTAGTTTTGGCCTTGAAACTGGTACTGATGAAGTGATAACTCTGTTTTTTTCAGTTTTGAGACTTGTATGTAGAAGTACTGACTCAATTTGAATATTTTGAATACCAGATGCATTGTGGCTTTTTGTCAGGTGGACTGTCTTCTGTGGGATTTAGTGATGTATAAAATGTTTTCTTGTAAATCCCTCAGCCACTGTAAGGCCACTGAAAATGAAACGCATAACTTTTGCAATGTTCTTATTTGCATATATAATCTCACCATGTGATAAATGAATATAAAACGTAAATAAACTATACATTGACATTTATCCTAGATGGCAAGATTACTCAAAGAATACATGAAAACTAAACATGGTAAATTAAACATTATAAAAACAGGCATAAATATAAGGCACTCTAAATGCAAAATGAATGAAAATGCCATTACCAGTGAATGCTTTAAAGAACCACAAGAAAGTGAAGTCTTTGTACCTTGCTCTATTGTGTGGAACTGAGTGTTACCGTGAGACCACTCTCTCTAATTAGAAAACTATATGGGAACTTGAAAAATGCACCAGTGATGCTTTGATTAGCAACTGGTAATGAAGGTGGAGCAATATTATATGAGTGAAAAACTTATCTGCATAAAAACTCTCTAACCCTCCATCTAAAACACATTTATTGCACAAGAAATGATGCACTGAATCAGAATACAGGTTTGTCCTACTGATGTGCATTCCAGTGAAAAACCTCTTCTTTTCCTACATAGGACACAACTCCCAATTTGAAAGCTTTCATAGACAAGATTTCATGTAGTTATAAATTATGTTCTTTATCAATATATTTAGAATGCTCTATATTTGTATATATTAATATATATATATATATGCTTTGATGTACATATTTCACATATATTTAACGGTATGTACGCAATTTGATATATATTTATATATATATTTCAACCTATCCATCATATTCTTGCTTATATGCTTATAATCATTGTAACATGGAAGAACTAAGATAATTGGTAGCAGCAACTTCATACTTTGCTCATCCCTGTTGATTCCACAAAGCCCAGTTTATGTCATGGGAGTGATTAAGTTATGTATGTGATCGTGGACAAAAAAAAAGTATAACACAAAAACAATATAGACCAAAACATATATTTTTGTAGTATGAATTTTGTGCAACAAAATGAGGGCAAAACAATTAAATAATAATTAGCAAAGAGACTCTCTGCAAAACAGCACATTTGTTAGAACAGTTCTACAGCTTAAAAAAAAGAGGAACATTTATGTAAGTACATTTTCATCACTTATAACCAAGTGACAACTTTGTGTAAAAAAGGAAATTCACACAGTTCAAAAAAAGCACATCAGCTGTATAATAAAGAACTACAAAACTAAATAAATGATTTTTTATTTATTTCATAGATCATTTTAACCCTCTCCCCAAATTTAGATGATGAACACTGTAACAGGAAATGGGGTGTTTATTATTACTTTAAGTCTGTGTCCTGCTCTTGTGGAACAAGCATTGTCTTGCTTTGTGATTGGTTGTCTGTGTGGACTTTACTGTGGACAGAATTTTTTCTTTTTTCTTTACAATGTGCATTGAGTTTTTTTCCCCCATAACTTTGTGTGCCTCCGATGTCTCTCTGGTTCGTAATCACCGATGCATTTCTGACAACGTCTTTATTTGTTCATTTACTTTTTTGTTGTGTTGGTTCATTCAGTTTTATGAGCCCCAAAATGAATCCTTGAAGCCAAAGAAAAGGTAATTCTGTATGATGCTTCAATAGTCAGGATTCCTTCACTTTGTGCCAAGGCAAGGTTTTAGTCGGGATGGGAAATACTTGGTCCTCCGGGAATCATCTTTTTCATTTTTTTAGACAAGTCATGTCGCACATCCAACACTTAATGAGTTGTTAGCAAGGAGTTAAAGAGTACTTTCTCAAGCAGGAATTTATGGCTCAGAAGAGAGGCTCACTGGGATTTCTTTTTCCAAAGCGCCCTCTGCTTTTATCTTCCAATACTGGATCTTTTACGTTGCATAGTGATCAAAGCTTCCCAAGTACTCCAGGCCAGCCCTGTAGCAGAATTGGTATTGATCCTGGAAAGGCAGAGGAGAAAAACTTAAAAGCCTCTCTGTCATTATACATTTATTTTTCTCCCATTGTAGAAACTCCCTTCTGTAACATGAAGTCTATTGACACCCCCCCACCCCCACCCGCCCTTAATGCAAAATACCTTTCCAAAATGGGATCTTAATACACTCAGATTGATTGCGAAAAAAGCCATACATTCTGAAATGATACTGAGATATTGTATCCAAATATTTACAACCACTTAAGTCCATATAGAAAATGAATGGTGGTGTTCAACAGAGACTTAAAAGGAATGACTGTTCCTCAAATGCGTCCTTCAAATGTAATCACACCTTGTCATTTAAAGTATTTGGAATTAATTATCACAGTATAAGGCACTGTTAACAAATCAATGTCTTATCCACAGTCTGGCAAACACCTAAAGAACTGTAGTATTTACTATTCAAGATGTTTATTCAAGACGTATTGTTCTGAGAGGTAAAAGACTAAATTGAGGAAACGTTACCTCTGTCTGCACCATAGCTGGTCTTTGTGTCCGTAGCATTTTCACTGTTTGAAAGATGTCTACTACGCCCTCATATCTCATTCGTTCCAAGACAATGCTGAGGGTGATGAAAACTCCAGTTCTACCAACACCAGCGCTGTGTGAGAGAGGTCAACAGAGCACATGTTGTGGCTAAATACAATTTTTATCTATTTATTTTTTTGCTATGGGCAAGACTTCATAGTTCTCTTGGTTATACTAGCCGCTCACTTACCTACAGTGGACCGAGATGGGACCATCTTGGCCAAACTGCTCTTTAGTTTTATGTACTTGACCAATAAAATCAATGAAACCCTCTCCTGATTTTGGTACTCCTTGTTCAGGCCAATCTGTGAACTGAAACTGCCTGACTGTCCTTGACTGTCCATCCTGAAAGGTAGAAAGGCACAAACAGATGATTACACAGAAATGGACAAACATAGACCTTAAAAGCATGTAGCGCAGTTGGCATCAGGGAAATTAATTCTCCAAGATGTCATTTAACCGAAATGCAAAAACTTCAGATTGCTTTGATGTGCCACTCTTGCCAGTATGTTGTGAGAGCATCAGCTTTGAGGGGAATGTGTTTCATAAGTAATATTGTAGTCCCTCCATAATGAGAGCAAACCAACTGATGAGACAGTGTGACATGCTCTACAAAGGGTGAAGCCTGTGCCATTAATCTGTCTAAGCTTTTGATGGAATTAGAATAAATAAGTAAATACAAAAAATTGTGTTGAGCTGAAAGCATCACATTATTTTTAGTTTGTTCCATTTTTTCCCCACAAACTGACATGTCATGTTTTCCAAATATTTACATTTTTGCATCAGTTCCACTGCAGGCCATTTTAGTGTCAACAAATATTTGAGAAAAGTACAAAAATGTTTAGAACTTATCTATTGGGAATAAGATGGGTACCAACAGTTTTTAGTGTTATTATGACGTAATCCATTTTCTGATGAAATGAAATCACATTATTAAGGAAGTGTAAATATCTTGCTTTATGAAGCTAAAGTAAAAAAGTACTGTTGATGAGGAGTTATTTTTCTGTAATGCTCTATGCCCCTGCAGAAAAATACTTTTTCAACACAGAAAGATGTGCAACAGCTTTGACACCCTCATGAAGTTAATTTTCTGATATGCTGGAAGTTAGCTTGGACCAGCAGGGGTTGACGGCAACCACTTTCATTATATCGTGGATGCAATACCAAAAATGATGGGGGGCATTGAAAAAAATAAAGGCAAATAAGCACAGGTGGAATAAAAGAACAGCAAGTTGCACTGACAGCCTTCACTATTTATCTTAAGTTATTTAGTCATCACAAAGATAGTCTTTGTCCGCTTTAACAACTGTCTTTTTCACAGCCGAGCGAGAATCAAGCAACAACAACGGAACCAACCAAGCACAATAAGACTGTTTCATATATTTATGACTGCCCTCGACTCATGATTCAAGGGTGACACAGATTTTACAGCACCATTACTACAAGTTTTGATGATTGGATTTCGCTGCAGAAAAGAGTGATTACCCTGGCATCAGTCACTTTGAACTCTCTCAGAATATACTGGGGCATGTTATACTCGGCCATGGGGTCCACCACAAAGTACTGGTATCTGGCTGACCTCTCTGCAGGCCAGTACTGGTGGCATTTTTCCTGGGGAAAAACCACAGTGAGTCCCAACATTCTTTTTCATCAGATTTAGAATTAATATAATGAGAAAGAGAGGATGCACATACCCTGCCCATTTCTCTTAGCTTGGTGAGCATGACCACTATTGTGGAGTTGTGCTCCCAGAGCATTCTCCAGAAGTCCTCTGTGGTTTCTGCCAGTGGTCCCTGTGTTGCAATGTAAGCTTTCTGTTGCCTGAGTGAATGAATCACACGATACAAGCAGTTAAACAATCACCATGGTTTTATCTGGCTAACTGAATATTTTGGAGTGTGCCATACTGTTTTTTTCAGCCATCTGATTGTTTTTTTTTTATTTTTTAAAATTAAATATATATATATATTTTAAGCATACCTGTATCCATCAATGAAACTTGCATTGATGTAGTCGGAGCCCTCAACTCCTCGAATGGGCTGAAGACACACTCGTGTAGACTCATATGGCATTATATTTACAAGACGGTTCTTGAACTTGTTGCAGGGGAGATTGGCACTGATGAATCTTGATGTATGGGCTTTAGTGTTAGCTAAACGCTGCAATGGGAAAATAGTAACAGTGATGACTGTCACCATAAGTGTGCCAGGGGTGAGGACTGACATTGAAATGTTTACCCAATTACTAATTTGAATAACATACATCCCAAATTAATTCTAAGAAAAACCTTGAACAATAGCATGCCTTGAGAATACTGAATAGTCAAAAAGTGCAATCGTCTACTCAGGGTTGGTTCATTTAAGTACAGATAATACACCAGTGATTACAACACATTTTCCTTTTTGTCAGTACAAAAAATATTAAAAGACTTGGAAATGGCTACAACAGAGTATCTTGACTTAGCAGAATTGTGGTGTAATCTAAGCTGTTCATCTTTTGGTGATATCAACTTCCCTCACGTAACAAAACAGTAGATACACGACAAGGAGAGCAATATTAAGCATGCATCAACAACAGTGGAAAAGGCTGGTTTGGCCTTTCATCGTAAATACAGAGTGTATTGCTCAAGTCATTCTGGAAACTGTTCTGTGGTGGGGAAAACCTATGTTTGGCAATTTCATGTAAACTAAGAATGAGTGGGGTGGGTGGAGGTAGTAGTAGAAGGGAAAACTGAAAAGGCTGAATGTATCAAATGTTGGATTACATTAACAGGACAAGTCAATGGAATTGAGGGGAAACCACAGGCCCCATTCTGTCTAGTCAACCTAATGGGGACTGGAAAAGAGTTTGAAAGCAGACATCGAAGCCTATATGTATCTTTGGACTAAAGATGCCTGAAAACGGTGCATATGGAAAGGGATAAAAACATTATTTTGGTGTGGCTTGACATCTTAAGAATATAAGTGACAATCTGTACCTTGAACTCAAGTTCCATGCCAGTGACATTTTCTCCACCCTCTATCTGTGTCAGTTTCTGGATGTAGGCAAATAGGTTTCTGGCGGGCACTTCGGTGGTGCCGCAGTTGACGGCCTCCAGGAGCGCATCGTGTATGAAGACATACTGGTCCTCTGTCTGCACCATGTAGTTGCGCTGGGCACGCATCAATGTTACATGCCCGTAGATATCCACTGTCTTCTCGTGTTTGATACGTTCGAGCATGGCATCAATCACGATGAAGCAACCTGTGCGTCCCACCCCAGCACTGTAGTCACAAACAAGAAAAAGAAAGAAACAAAAAACAACCTTAAAACTATTAAATCATGTAAATATCATTAGTCTGAAAAATAATTTGTACCACTTGTACTGTCTTTTTCACTTTCAATTAAATCTGATGTGGCTGTGTGTCAAACAAGGATGAATATGCTGGCTAAAAATTGGCTTTACAAACTAGTCTTTCGCTTTCAGAACCCACCTGTGCACTTGTACACAATGACGGCAACATTTAACCTTTATCCCATGGTTCTGAAAAGTCCCACCACAGAAAATGTGATACACAGTTGTAAATTTGAGGACATCTTTTTGTGTGGCCTCACTAATGCACTGGTTACTCCCGAGAAGAGCACCTGACTATAATTAGGGCCATTAGATTTGCACAGTGTGCCTAAATGACATAAGGGCTTGAAAAGAGACACTGAGAGGTAGGTCTCTTTAGTTAAGTTTGCATTTGTCCATCTCTGCATTCCTGTGTGGAATGCAAAAGTGAAAAAAAAACAAAGAAGCTAGAAAATATTTTCTGGTTTCACTTTGACCTCTCATTGCAAACTAAATTGAGAGATCCGGTATAAATCTAGCTCACTTCTGCAGATTGCTGACCATTTAGTAATGCTCACCCCTGCACATTACCCCTGTTTTTAATAGCGCATAGCTCAGCCCAGAAAATACTTTTTGATGACGATTTATTTAGTAAGGCAACAGGGTTGTGTTAAATCTTGTCTGCTGACTGTACTTCTTTGTCTTCCAAAGCTATGCATTGACAAGTTGAGTCTTTGCACTTGACACTCGACAGTAAATAGGTTATTCAACTCATTAAGCTGACATGCCGATGAGGTGTGAGCCGTGCTCACATACCTCCTCTGTCTAAAGAGGCATTTGTTTTTCATTTGCTACGAGGAAAAAAATAAGGGTTGAGAAGGGAAACTTAAGAGGCAGTGAAGTTGGTCCCCAGGGGGGAAGGTCTGGTTAATGTGCCATGCTGCATTGGAACTGTGCAGCTGTAAATGAAATAAAGACGGGTATGGGAGTCACTGGCTTTAGCAAATGATCTGATGATTACCTCCAAAATGGCTAACCCTGGCAGAATATGATTTTGTTTCTCTTTATGACTAAACTCTTCACAGCTCTAGGGCAAGTTAAAAGTACATGTGAATTGAAAAGAGAATCAGGGTGCAAAAAATGTACAAAGGTCCCAGCAATATTTGAGGAATGAATCCCTTCCAGGTCTGAAAATGCTTTGACCCTGGATGAAGGATTCAGAAACTAGAAACTTCCACCACAGCTGTTTCCAATCTTAAAACATTATACAGTGCAGCCCTGAATGTGGGAGAGTGATGATCTGCTGCAGAGCAACTGACAGAGTGACAGCACAGAGATAGAGAGATGGAGGCAGATGAGGAATGGGAACGGGAGGTGAGGAACAGAAAGGTAGAATTGTTTTTGGCAGGTAAAGAAGCTAGCACCTATACTGAAGTTTGGTAGATCTCAAATTAGTTTTGCTGCAGGTTGAGTTGCAGAAATGCATAACAATATACATTTTGCATTTAAATGCAGGACAACGAAGGGCCAGGAACATGTGTAATATTGCTTTATGGACAAGAAATGCTATGTGTGTTGAGGGATGAGATGGAGCAGAAAGCCGTCAGAGCATTTGGCAGCTGAAGGAGAGCTGGCGGACTGACTGCACTAATGACCTGACAGTGCCTTTGCAGCCAGTCAAAACCAGCTGCTTGGGACATTGACACACAATAAGTGTCAAACTAATATGCTCTCCAAGAGTTTGGGGGAAAAGGAATAGGCGAGAAAAAGCAGTGTAAAACACAGCTGTAATGGGTACAGTGAAGAGAAAGCATGAACAGCAGAGAAAGCAATTACAGATGCATTGTTGTCTTGTTGTCAGCTAACCATCGCTATTTTGCTGCTCTGCCTAGAAAATGCTCACATGCACTGCAAAGCCAGCATTGACTAATTAAAACCAGATTTTGTGCAGGGCTAAATAATTGTTTTACCCATCAGTGCGGACTGAATAGCGCAGAGCTTTTGAACCTGCGGCTACATTAAATAAAGCTGGGTACAGTCAGATGAGGCGTTTTGGTACATGAAACAGACAGCAAATTTCACAGGTAGCTTTTTTTTTTGTCTTTTAAAGAATTCTAAACCTCGCCCAGTCTACGGATGTTCCTTAAACTTATTTTTCTGCTTATGAAATATGGAAAAATCTTAAAAATGTTGTTTGTAAAACGTTTTTAGAAAATCTGCAATTGCATTAGATGGGCATTTTAAAATACTCCGGTGTGTATGCGTGAATCCACTAGAACTGTATTAATGATGTTTGATGTTGATACACCTGTGCACACACCATATACTGTACATTGGGTATGCCATGAAATAAAACTGATACCAGATGACTTGTAAGAAAGGAAAACCACACAATTGATGAAAAAGTTATATTTCTTTGGATTAACCAGGTTTTGATCTGTGCAAGAGACACAATTGTTGAGTATTTTAGTTAAACTTTGCTTTAGATGTGCATCAATAGATCATAAAAATCCACAATAAAATGTTTTTATCTTTAGTGGAAGACGTTAACCACAAGACTTGGCTATTACTATTTTGTCAGTATGTAAATATAACAGCTTGTCCTGTTTAAAGTTATGCTGAGAGATGAAATTGGGAAAAGCCTCTTCAAGGACTTGAACATTGGATGTAAGTTTGATCTGATGGAAAGCCAGAGGAGTTTAAATACCCAAGTCAGCCTTGTGAAATTAATTCCTGTTTTTTTTCTTCATGGTAAACATTTTTTCTTCTTGAAGCAATCCACAAACTTGCACTAATTACCTTCTGCATGTTGTAATTCAAAGGTTTCCTTTTTTGTTATTTCATGACAAAAGTTTGGATATGTAACATTTGCTGTTGCTGATTTTCTTCAAAACTTTCTTTCCCTCTGTCACTTTTTTATCCAGAGCTACAGATGCCTCCCAAAGTTAAGAAAAGCCAGAGCAGAATTCTCTTATGTGTTTGATGGTCAGTTTTTGTGGCTGGAAACGCAGAATTGTTGGATGGTGACGATTAACTTGTTGGTGATCAAGCCAGGGGTATGGCAGGCCTTCATGTATCTGTGTCACTGAGTGGGTGTAGATGATTTAGAAATGTTCTTTGTGCTGTGAGGCCGAAATGAACTTGTTCTAACTGTCTTATGACAAATATGGTGGGCCGACTTGTTTAAAGAGACGGCTGTTGTTTTTCTACTAAATACTCTCCTTTTATCAATGATTTTCCTTATGATTCCTCTGTATTCAATATTATTAGAACATGAATGATCCAGGGTCATAATGAACCTCTGTATAACCTGGGATATGTTGTTTCTGTCATATGTATTCATATATTCATTACAGCAAATGGAGAGTGGTAAAAATCCATTTCATGCTTCAGAATGTTTTTGCAAAACTATGCTGTTTCTTACCTGCAGTGCACCACCATGGGCCCTGCATCTGGAGGATTGCAAGCTTTCACCCGTCTCAGGAAAGCCAGGAACGGAGTGGGGTGCTCTGGTACCCCGTGGTCAGGCCAGGCAGTGAACTGGAACTGCCTCACCTCTCTTTTCTCATTAGAGCCATTCTAAATATGGAAAAGGAAGAAGGTTAGTGACTAACACATTTAAGTCTGTTGAATGTATCACTGTATAAAACAAAACCCTTACTTTGAAAAGTGCAAATGTTCTGACGCAGTATGTGGCCAACTCTACTGTATCTAGCAGTGTTACTTGAATGAGTCCATAGGTCTCCGTTCCCCTCGTAGGCCAGTATTGATCACATTTTACCTGCAGAGAAGGAGGAATGTCATATTAGACAACATCTGAAGGCTTTTCAGAACTATGTTTGTACCTTTAGTGAAAGCCAAATGAATTATATTTGGTGTTTATACATTAAGGCTGCTTTATACCAAGTCAAATAATGGCATAATGAATGCTGAAACCCTTCTTTTCCCTGCTGATTGGGTTTAATTTTCTAATCAATTAAATGGCCTGAGATGTGTGTCCAGTCAACAGTTCAGTTATTGTTGTGACTTACTCTATAATTACAAATGTAAGCACAATGTCCTGTCATATTATCATTGCAGCTTTATTGCCACTTCACTCCACGTGTTTCCTTTTAAAATGGCTTAGGAAACTGTTTCTTTAGTGTTTCTGGTATTGTGGCTCGTCCGACAAAAGAAAAAGAAAAAAAAACACTGTTTGTGTTGGTCAGAAAATTACAATGTTACTGCTATTTTTATTTAACTTTATATATAAAATTGGAAACCAGTCAGGGGTACTCCACTAAAGAGTGGCTGTTTTAGCAATCCAATAAAGAGCAGTGGGAGTGAGTCTGACCAGGACAACGTAAATCATAATAGTGTTTACTTGCAAATAGTTGAGCTTTAGATATGCAAAACATACAAGGACAGCTTGAGTACCTCCCCACACTGATTCATTTAAAATCATAATCTATTAGCTTGGTCAACTGCACATTATGAGCAAAAAACCATATAAACCATATAATAGGAAATAATTATCAGTGAAATGTTTACATAGAGCTATTGAGTAAAACAGACCCCTAGCATTATAGAATACAATAGAACATACTTCATTCATCTCCAATGGGGGAAATTCAAATGGATCATATTTCCCTAACAAAGCATGGCAAAGTTAATTTGCTTTGCAGATGATATGGAAGGTAGGCAAAACCTGCTTCTTCTCTGGATCCCTCCAGTTAACAGAATTGCATTGTGTAATTGTAAGTGGCTGTTGGTAAGCCTATGTGTACTAAGTGTAACATTGTGAAATGTTTGTAAAAAATAGTGACTTTTGACACCGTGGTTGCTGGACAGACAAGCTTAACAGTCCTTTATTTCATCACAGAATGTTATCCTGTACTTTCAGCACTAGGTCCTTAAAGTCAAGCTACAAATAATTTGAACCAGTGGGCCAACAGTTTGGGACAGCTGACAATATCTGTAGGTAGAATGGATGAATATGTACATTCTATGTATTTATTTAAACCCTTACCCTGGATCTCTCCTCCAGTTTGGTCATCATAACAACGATGGCACTCCTCTGCTCCCATATCATCCTCCAGAACTCACCAAATGTTTCTGGCAAAGATCCTTGGGTGGCAATGTAGGCATTCTGCTTTCTGTAGCCGTCTATGTAGTTGGAATTAATATAGTCACTTCCAGGGATACCTTTAGAGAAAGAAGATCATGCTTTTCAGTTCAAGTTTTTATTAATTAGAATTGGATGCATATTACCACAGACAATGGAACTAATACAATGTATTATTTGAGTCCTCCTATATGTGCTTTAGTATTTTTTTGCTGACAGATTGAGATATAACGTCAGGATTTGCTCAGATAACACCATACATGTATCTTCTTTGTATGACCTAAAATTATGGGAGTAAAACCAATGTTTTTCAATGCAAAAAAAAAAAGAAAAATCACTCTCTGAGGCAGTGTTTTGGTCCAAAAGAATTTGGGTTTGCTATCAACTACATGTTTAAATCAGTGGTTTATTTTCCCCTCTACCATATCTGCAAATGACACACAGATAAGGCTTGGTCTCATATGGAGAAAAACAAACCAACAATAAACTAGCAAAACAATTTTTTCCCCAGCCGCCCTCTCTCTTTCCTTTGCTAATATTAAATGAAAGGCACAGCAGCCTTTTCGAATGCAGGCAGAAAAGACGGAGCTGACAGCTAGTCAATGCTTTAGGACTGGCAGTTTAGGGGCTCCGCGCACACATGGTCGACCAAGATAAGTCTCATCTGCATGGGCACCACGTCTCAGAGAATCCCCTCACTCTGAGTGCTCTCTCGCTCTCCACTCCCTCAGACTCCCTCTCACTCCCAGGTAACTTAGCCAACAGAAAAAGGAAAGGAAATAGAATGTGAGCACATTAAAAGAAACCACCCACATAATTTTTTCCCCACCCCCCCTCACATTTGCTGTTGAAGCTGTCCACACAACCAGGCGGCTGTGCATTTCTGTGATGGACAAGGGATAAGTACAATTAAGCCCACTGTGTTTTCAGTATGAAAAGAAAAGAAAATGGAGACATTACTGTAGTTTAATGAGAATGAGACAAGTTTTTAAATACCCATTTGCAAATGGATTTTGCTTTTCTTCTCTCTGTCACTCAGGATTTGTACAAATTCTTCAGCTTTCTAAGTCAATATGGCTATTAAAAAATAAACATTGCTGCTTTTTGCAGTCTTGTTTGGAACTCGGTCCTCATCATAGCTTGGCAAAGTAATCTCAAAAGAAATGCTGAGAGCTTTTGGGGAGTAAAATCATAACAAGCATGGTGTGTACATTTTTGTTGATTTTGAATATTTTTCAATAGAATTTTCCATTAGCTGGCATGATGTTAAAAAAACTCTCCTTTTACAGAGTTTCGCAAATACTCGTTGAAAAAATTCTGCAATGCTGAGTAGTTGTTTCAAACTTAAAGTACGTAAGTAGAAGTTGTAGCAGGACAACTTTTTTGGAGGAATTGTGCCAACAAAAACTAATGGAAATGCTAAACTTTCTACACAACCTATTAAGCATATCATTGGTAGTTTTAGTGTAGAATTGTTTATGACATCAGTAATACTTTAGAGGTTCAGGATTTTTTTGGAAGGTTGGCTTCTAGTTGTTTTGTCAGGTGTCAGAATTTTGGAAGATTTGGTCTTTTAATGAACTTTAATTAACTAAATGTAGTCACTACGACAGTGCCTGTTCACCAAAAAATGCACATATATCCATCCCGACATTAATAAAACTTTTCTCCAATCGCTGATGTCAAATCACCAATCGCGCTCTGTTCAAAGACCTTAATCAAAGTAAACAATAGACACATTGTTTGCCAAAAAGCTTTGTTTAAGCTCTGGAAGGGAAAAGATGTCCCTCATGCCCCTCTGGCAGAGAACTACTCACTTTACACAGCACATAGACTCCAATGTGGTTGTACAGATGTGTTGGCTGGCTAATGGAACGCCATCAACATTTAAGCTGTGTGCTGTTTCTTGGAGCCTGCAAAAAGGGCTTTCTGAGTCTTTATCTGTCTCTTCGTCGCATTATCCATTAACCACTATATTTGCCATCTCCCTCCACAGGAATAGCTCAATGGAAATGTTTAATTAATAGCAAATGTGTGTATATGGACAATTTTGTTTAATCATAAACTGGCAAAGGAGTCAGCACTTTGGAGGGCCTTTTCAAAGTGCATGTACATTTGAGAATCTGTGGTGTGCTACACATCTTTATGCACTCCAACAGCACTAGTCTGTAATGGACTTATGACATTGTGAATGCGACACTTGAGCTAAAAAATTTCACTTCCAGAGCACTGCTTCCAAATCTAATTGTATTTGCAAGGGGGATTATTAGAATTTTCATGTTGTATTGGTAGCTCAGTCTTATGTGTTTTTTGAAAATGAAGTTTTTATTTAAACGACACTTTCCCCAACCTTATGCTTTAATCAAGTATGCATGTTTCCCTTATTTAAAGGTAATTATGCTTAACTCCAGGGTGATGTAAGAATTTACTTGACCTGAAGACAAACAGGTTGATGGTAAAACCTGTTGTCTGCAACTGCATATGGTTTATTCTGACTTGTGTGACTACCTAACTATTTTAAAGGAAAATAGCCTTAAATATTTGTATTTATCAAATTTATTTATGCATCTATTCAACTGGCATCTAGAACATTCTTGTGTGTGAATGGTGGGATTGTACTTCTCAGGTTATGGGGACCTCTTTGTACTGGCTATGTTTTGGATAAAAACAGCATACCGTCAATAGCAGAGAGTAAGACTCTGGAGTGGTCATAGGCAATCACGTTGGCATATCTGTTCTTTGGTTTGTTGACCTCCAGGTTTGAGTGCTCCCATGTGAACTGTTGACCAGGGTCGATGGACTAAAAGAGAAAAGGAACTTTTTGGTTAATAGTGTTGGAACATATAATCACACAACAGCTCTAACAGTCTTAAACTACATACAGCTGTATGTACTTTCAAAGGCTTATTGAGATGTGCCTTTGATAACAGCAGAGGAGAGTGTAATCCATTGCATTATACTCAATTTTAGTTTGTATCTACAAAAATTGTTCTTACAGTGGCTATGCTTTGATCGATTTGACTGATTTTATAAAACACAAACAAACTGCTGAATTGTTCTGCCTTTTAGGTCTGTCTTGTGTTGGTTTGCAAATTATCTTTGTATGTTCCTACTCTAATGGCACATTTACAGGCGAGCAAAGGATGACAAATACTATTGCTTTTTTAAAATGCTGTTGTTAAACCCCCTCAAGTAGATGAAACTGTCAGGCATAAAGGCTCTAAAACATAGATGAAATATTCCATAATGGAAGAATTCCTCCTGCAGTAACCTTACAAGAACATCTTTTTGCCACAGGTTAAAATACTCTCTTGTAATTAAAGCATAAAACCATAGCTTTAACCTGTACCCATTATTGTTATTAGTCTTAATTTTTTTAAAGTTCTTTTTATTGAGTTTTTTCTTTTAATACATACAGTTTGTGAATACAAATAAGTGTATCTAGTTAAAGTATATCTAACACATACATAAAATAATACACACAGAGAAAATAATCCCTCCAAAGTAATCCCCTTTAGCCCACCCAGGTCACTGCCCAGTAGGTCCACCCACTGCATTCCTATCCCTGACAGAAATGGAACATATCTTAATAAAATCAATTAACTTCAATAATCTGGAGCATTATTGTATGTTTTGAAATGAGTCAAGAAAGGCTCCCCAGGTTTTTTCAAATTTACCAGTTGCGTGTTGAAGAGAACATCTAATCCTTTCCAGTTTCAAACACGGCATGAGGTCATAAAGCCACTGCTTATTAGTCTTAATTTTAGCTTTTTCATCTAATATGCCTTTCAGGTAATTTGTTCAAATTTTATGAGGATATAATTTAGCGATTTAAGTTTTGAATGTGTGACATAAATGTGGTATCATTAGTATAACGTTTTACTTCTACAATATAAATCCGAAAATGATTTAAGATGGTTCAAAGCCATAATAACAACAACCCTAAAACACACTGTTATTTTTGGCTGTGACCACTGAATTTCACATTTTTTCATTAAATCTCCCTCAAATAAAATCGAAAGGAAATGATTGTTCTCTAAAACAGAGCAGATGCAATGAAGGGTCTCATTAATAGATGTAATCTGTTTCAGTAAAACTTGATTTATTCTGACTTCTGTCAATGGACACTTGAATGTAAATGAATTATGGTATGTAGATGAAAGTGGGAAAAAGATTATGGGGATGAATATTTTAATATTTTTACTTTTAAGTGCTGTCTCAATTAAATATTTTGCCAGACAGGAAATGACGACTACATACAGAATTAATTGTGGGATACACAAAAACATGCGGCATGGATTTGTCACAGAGTGAATGATTGCATCATGTTAATCTTTCCTTCATCAGTAGGAGGATTTTATGGCACATAAAAGAATAGCACACAGACTAGTTACAAATCTGAGCTATTTCTCGTTACTGAAAAGCAGTATTTAATAATGTCCCTCATTATTGATAAATTAACTATATATCACATATGAATGGCTGAGAGATAGTGCCCAAAGGAAGTGAATATTAACTGTTTTATAAGCATATCAACTAAATGTATTAGTGCTCTGAACTCATCATAAACCACAATCAAAATATATTATCCTCAAAATATATTTAAAGAATGGGGAGCAATAATATTCATAATCAAAATCTTTCATTGTGTTTATAAATTTGTTCTCTACTGCTTTTGCATAAAATGGAATGGCTTTTGCATGAAAATGGAATTGAAAAGCATTTAAGCTGCAGTAATAAGGCAGTTTGGCCAGCCCTTCATAGACTTTGGAGCTACTGAATTACCCTCAAAAAGTAATGGGCAGTAAATGGGTGGCTATTAAGATCTTGCGCATATAAGACCTCCTGTTTGCTCTGCTTTGTAAGGCTAGATGAGTGATTCAACTCAGCTGTCAAGTACAGTGGTGGAAGGCTCAGGATTGTATTTCCTCTGCTGGCACAATAAAGAAAATGACAATATTAAGTTACTGCTGATAAAGGTAGACGGATTCATCGTCTTTAACAATTCATTAGACATGTAGCAGGTATTTTTTAAGAGCCCGATTCGTTCCACCTAAAAAATGAAAGTTTTTTACTTTCTGTATTTCAATGCATAACATTAAGTTGTGGCCACATACATGGTGTTGCATTGCTTCAGAAATGATGGTTCTAAACTACTGAATAAAAATAAGGATTAATAAGGATTTTTGTTTTTTTACACTCACCTCATATTCCTGTGAAAACTTTAGGTTGTCATTGGCTTTCAAGCGTTCCAGATGATCCGAAAAGTCCATGACAGGGATTGGAGGGTGGCTTGCCATACCTGTTGATCAGATTGAGTTGAAATGTTAGTGACTAGTCTTTAAAGAGGGCATCACCCAAGCACAGGCAAACAGTGAACCATTAGATAAGCAGCATGTGGTTATAACAGGAGGAATGGAAAGTGGATCTTGTTAGGCTAGTTTGTTCACTCAAAGCAGTGACCATGCTCATAAAGAGAATATGGACACAGAAGCCAATGAGAAATCATCGAGCAGACCTGCCCCGCAAACCACCCCCCACCCCCTACCCCCCACTGGGACTCTCCCTATTAAGAGAGAAGAATGTTATTCACATGGAATGCTAAAGTAGATAGTTAGCATGACAGTAATGCACAGACACACATCCCAAAAAACAAAGAAACAAAAAAACATTGAATGGTTAGGCCAGCTGTTGACATCTGCTTTGAGTGATGACATGTTTTCAGGCTGTCATTTCAAACTCCGCCTCCTGTGATGACATAGCGTTAACATCAGATGAATTAGATGCAGATGGGAATACAAGACTAGGCAGAAAAAAAGAAAAGGAGGGAATTAAAGCTGAAAAAACAATAAAAGTTGTGTCAAATGCATAATCGAGACCAACTAACTTGACAAATGGAGGTTACTGGGGTGACTGGGCACACCTGAACCTGTGGAGGAAACGGCGGTGGAATTAACTACATTGCAGATGTCATAGCAATGTGATGATTATTTTCTTTAGAAAAGAGGGTAGAAGCTGAAATGTGATTAGAAATAGCTGAATGGTAATTCTAAATGAGAAATGTATTAGTAACAAACAAGATTTCAGACTACAACTCTGCTGTGCCGAGATGCTTATTTAATTTAAATAAAACTTGAAAGCATTTATAATTCGGGTTCCACAAACTCTTTTTCAACTTAGACATATTATTTGATATTCATTCAAACCTTAGAAATCTGACACAATTTTCCCCTTGCAGAGCAAACTGTATTCAATTTTAGGCTGTAAAGTTTTGCTATGATTTAAAAAGTTAGAATTGAAGTCAGATTAAAGACTGTTGTCCTGACTTTGGAAAAAGATTTGGACGAAATCTACACACAAAAAAAGCTGCCACAATTCATTATACAACCAAATTTAGGGAGCTTATGAACTTCAGGCAATTTTGACTCACATAGTGAGTGACAGGTGCTCTGTATATCTTAGAGATGATGTTTCATGTTGGTTTCGGGCACAAGTGGGCATTAGCTAATGGAAGCTTTGCTGTTTTTCCACCCACTCTTAATACTCTGAAAAACGGCAAAGCCCGTTTCTATTGCAGCCCACCACTCAGAATCCATTTTCACCATGGGGGGACAATGAAAGTGGCTTTTCTGACATGCCATCATTCAAACATCAAGCATCCTGAAGATGAAAATGTCCAATGAGGAGAGGTAAAGGGGGGGGGGTCGAATGTGGAAGTGCTTCAAGACTTGTTCTCTTACTGCCAAAAAAGAACCCAGCATTTTTTTCTTGTCACTTTCTCCTAAGATACTATCTCTCCGAAAGGCTTGTGTGGAGGGAGAAATAATGGCTTAAGAGGCGAGTAAAATAGTAGAAGGATGGTTGGGATCACTCCGAGTCAAAAGAAAAATACCTCTCTGTAAGGATGAAACAGTCGGTAATGGTCCTAAAATCATTGAAGAGCTTTCATAAATATGCATAATCTTTTGTAAAAATGAGCCTGGGGGGGATAATTCCTCCTCTTCTCATTTGAGTTGATCTAAAAGTATGTCTTTGATATTACATTATTGGCAGCCTCTGAATACCTGTCCCAAAGCAGCCAATGCCAGAAGTCAAAAAGGCAATTAAGTGCCCTGCTCTTAGCCGGGATGGAGGTAAAGGTGCACACCATTTTTCTCATAATACACAGAGTGCAATTGCATTTTTTTCCCCTCAGGGTGACAAATGGCCAAATGACTGAACAAAGCTTGAGTGGTATAACTGAACAGTCTCCTCATCATTTAAGATTGAAACAAATAAGCATTATAGCTGGATTTATACTGGGAACAAGGCATACCATTATACATTTTGCTTTTCCCCACCTTCTGCAATGCAACACCCTGTGACTTTAAACAGTACATCCAAATGAGTAAGTACTATTCTGAGTTAGCATGACAAGTTGTGATGACCTAGATAACCCAAGTGCAGGAAGCTGACATATGCCATGGAAGTGTCAAGCTTGCATTCCTGATTCATTTTCCATTATGAGGCATCTCCAGGGAAGAGGGTGTCAGCTTTGACCCTTTCTGCCTCCTCGTAGCACCTGTCCACTGTTTCCCTACAAAATGCTGTCTTGTTTCATACCAATCTCATTGATGACTATTTACAGCATATGAATATTGTCCTCTGTGTCAGCAGGAGTTTTAAATGGAACACGACTGATGGAAGGCTAACTGTGAAATGTATTTGTTGTTCCTTTCAAAGAAGACAGTAAACTGTGAAATTGGTTTTGTTTTGTTACACTGTATTTGGTCAACTTTTCAGGAATTAACACATCAGCCTTATTGGAATACTTACCAGGTGTTTGGAAGTTGAGACGTCGGAGTTCAACTGGGTCAGTGGGATGATGAAGTGGCATTTCTTTGCTGTTGGGTAGACTACCTTTTCTTGCCTCGGATTCTGCTCTTTTTCTGTTGAATTGTTTAAGATGAGAAAACGTATTATGTTTTTATTGTACGACTTCAGAATGTGTATTGTTGTCTTATGAAAAAAAGAAGCAGATATGTAATTAAGCAGGTGAGAGGAATAGAAGACCAAACAATGTTACTTCATAGTTAATGGCATGCAGTACAATAACTGTTTGCAATTAAATGCTACCCTTTGTAAGACTTAATATCCACTTTTCAGCAGAACTGTCAGCAGGAGTGTGGATTCAGCTATTAGTTAGGGAGGAGTTTAATCTCTCTTATATGGCAATCTATTTGTTTTTTTCTATACATATTAAGGGTGAGCCTATTGTACTGCTATACAAGTCCCAGGGGGTTCAGCAGTGTATTTAGATTTTTAACAAAGTGCATATTAACACGAGTTTGGTAGATGTTTTTTTTTTGGTTATTAATAATGATTTAAAAAGTAGAGATGTTATAAAATCTTGAATGTAGATGTAATTGTCAGTATTGAAAAAAAGACGGAGTTCGGCTGGTTTTTGTTTTACCTGACAATTAGCTGTTATCAACAAAAAAGTTTAGCCAGAAACTATATGAAAAAAATATTTATAAACTTGAAAATTACATGATTCCAGATCATTCTGATACAGATGGACTCCTTTGTGGGGTGTGTATATTTAGATATAGCATGCTGACCAACGGAGTGTAGCTCAAATTTAGCCTTTTTTCCCAATAATTTGTCCCTTACCTGTCCGGTTTGCTGCTCCATTGGAAAGCAAGAAAAAAAACATAAGATATTATAGAGAATTAAAACGTTTTAGCTTAACATAATTAAAAATAACTGACTGGCTGCATTGGAGACAAAGGATAACAATCTCATCTCACTTTTGCTTTGTGTGCAAGATTGGTGATGCTTCAATGTTAAGGGATTAGGCTCAATTATGCTGCCTTTGGGGTCTTTGTTTCAAATACTTAAGATTCCAAGGTGCAACTAAGAATTGTACATCATAGCTCTGCTATTTCAAGCAGTTTCAGCTGATTTGTTCTTCTTCAAGCATAGAAGTCATCTCTTGACTCTTAATTGGTATATCTGTCTTCTTTCTTCCACTGTTGCATTTATAAAATTTACAAATTGTTTTTTCAATGTTCATGCATATAGCATTGAAACAAAACATGGGATAATAATCATTGAATGTGCATGAATTAAGCATGCATATTTGCATATGCATATTTAATCATAAAAAAGATTAATATAACAGCAGACATAAGCTGGTATCATAAACGTGCATGTAAGTGAACAATTTCCTTCCAGCACATGGTCATACCTTGGCTGTTAACCAGAGTTTAACAGAACTTAGTTGATCATTTTCCTTTAGATGAAAATATATCTGCAAATTATTTGTGGAATGTCCCTGAAAAGTGACTTTGCTTGGCAGTCCATTGATGTATATCAGTAGATTATACCCATTTAATATTAGCGCTGTCACCAATTTTAGCTTGTGCTGAGTCTTCAATGACTAGTCTCACCTTGTACAACTCCACATTGACTATGGTAAAATTCTGCTTAGGCCTGGATGTTTGATAGAATGAACTCTGCGGAAAATCTGCTTAAAGTAAAAGGTGAGAGGTGGCAAGGTAACAAAGGATGAAAGACATAAATAAAACTGTACAGATGCATGCTTATCAGCTGTCCCTGTCCTGGCAAAGCAGGAGGGTAGTATAAGGTCAAAGTGCAGGTCTGGAACCGAGTTCTCCTGTGGAATAGGCAATCGGGAGAGAGGAGGGGTTGGGATGGCTGGGAAACAAGCCCGGACCCAGGGGTCCTTCTCAAGCTGTATACACGCAGTGACAAGCAGCAGATAATCAAAGCTCTTCCCTCCTACGCTTGACTGATGAGCAGCAGCAGGACGGGCTCTGACTATCACTAGGGGGTTTTGGTTTAAAGAAAAAAAAAATCCGTTTTGATTTTGTGTGAAAGTGCACTTCAGAAAGTGTTTGCAGCAGCGATAAGCGAGTTTGTACGTGTGTGTAGGCACGTGTCTGATTAACCTTCAGTGAGGAGACGTGTCTGTGTGAAGGATTGTGGGTGCCTGCACTTGGTGTCTTGACAGTTTGGATAGCTGCATGTTTGGATTTACTCATGCAAGATTTAATGAGCATTACTGAGATTGAGGATCATGCTTAGTTTGAGGACCAGTGCACCTCAGGATTTCAAGTAAAAAGCTTCTCACAATGTGCTCTTATGTTGGTTTGTAGAAATTGAAATATTCAATTCCCACTAATAATTTTAGACTGTATTGCATGAATATGTTTGAAGATTCCTTGCTCTGCTTTGTGTGTTTATATGTCAAAGTAGTATCCTTCTGAGATTGATTTTGGTGAATTTCTTTTATGGTCATAAAATAATTTCGATAGCTCACCTTTTATAAAGGAGGATGGCAATTACGATGCATATGATGAAAACAACAGCAAGCACAGGGCCCACCACCCAAATGAGGCCCTCTTCCTCATCGATGATTGGCTGGGGATCAATGTCCGCTGAAACGACCGGGTCCGAGTATGGACTGGTGGCGTACATGATCTTGATTAAGAAAAAGGAAAAACATGTTCAAAATCAGCCATAAAAAAAGAACCCACATGTTTCTATAGTTATATCCAAATATTTATGTTTTTCACTTTTACATCCTTTGATAAAAATTTGTTTTACAGTATGCGTCGAAACATGTTAACATATTAAATAACATATAAACATATTCCAGACAAACAGCCTCTTGTCAAGTAACCCATGCAGAGAGTATATGTTAATTGCTAAATATTAACATACTACATAACCAACTATAGAAGGGAAAAGTCTATTCTGTTGTAATAAAGTTTTCCTGTGTTATGGTTTGTGCTGTAGTAGTTGGGCCAATCAAAAATGATATCCAATACACAAGCCATGATTGAACCATTTTCTATTCTAAGTGAAGATAAATGAAAAAAAGGTCTTCTGGGGCGAAAAATAGAAAAGACATGCCTCAATGGACAAATTAAAGATTTGCCTCTATCCGTCATTATCGTTTTTGCTCCACCTGATCTCAGGGTTAGTGTAGTGCGAGTGAAGCAGCACTACAAGCCCTGGAGCTCATCAAATCCATCATCTTGCCTGTAGCTACCTAATCATGCAGCTTTCTGGTCTTTCGTCCCTGCAGATGCACACACACACACACATACACACACACACACACACAGTAGCTGCAGCAGCGGTGAGATAAGGTGGACCACACATAGGATGCAATTAAAGGGGAGCTTTCTTATCGAGGTGCTCTTGCGATCAACGGAGTTCTTAAGGGGTTTGTCTCCCTAATGCAAAAAGGGTCAGCTTCTTGGGTCTGCTACAGCTTTAGGTTTTCAAGCCAAAGCCTCACAAGTGTTCAAGGAAAACATTTGACCAGGGGAAAACTTTGACCCATGGGAGATATGTTTGAATCACTTTTAAGGGAACTCCCAGAGACAACAAACCTAGAGCCCAAAGATGAACGCAAATAAAAATGAGATGGTTTTGAGGGAAAGAATAAACAAAAATATTAGACTTACGTTTTCCGACATCTCTAAAACAGCAAGCACAAAGAAGACGTACTCCTGGCCACTCTGGAGTTGCTTGTTTTCAAAGTCCCCATAGGTCTTCCCATCTCCCAGGGTGAACTCTTTGGGCAGGTCTTTGAAGTAGGCAGCAATATAAGCTTTGGGTTCAGTGTGTCTCTGGAACCGAAGGCCTCTGCTTGTTCGGTTTATTTCCTTCAGCAGCTACGGAGTAGGAAGCAGACAGTTGATAACACATGGTGACTTCTTTAACTACACAGATGAAAATACATCTACACAGTCAATCCATCTATCTTGTTCTGACTGCTAAACTCAAAATCCTTATTGCAAAACGTGTAACATTACAGAAAAGGTCAGTGACATGTTTAATCAGTTTTCAGACCGCAAAAGAAACTGAGATTGCGTGGATTTACAGGATATAAAATATCTGAGATTTCCACAGCTTCAAACAGTGAAATAGATTTTAAGTTCAAAATTGACATAGTTCAAACAATTTTTATTATACAGAGGACTTTCTGCTTAAATTTGTAAACCAATAAAATTTTACTTAACCAATAAAAAGTGTGCACTTTTGTGTTCCCCCTCCTTTTTTTATATGAATAGAGATTGTTCAGTGTGAGGGTAAAGCTATGTGTCTTGCGAACAAATGGCTTCAAACACTGCTTTGTGACACATTTCATATAAAAGGCCTTTTTTCTCCATCTATATAGTTTCCTGGGGTAAGTCATTTTACTTCTTCCTATTTACCAGCGGTTAATAATGACGATTTTCAGAGGCTGAAAGCAACACTGCATCCTTCATACAAGTCTGTATCATCAGACTTCAAATTTTGAGGACAAAGCAGGGATTATAATTATGCTAATCAGGCCGGGCTAGCTGTTTCGGTGTCTGAATGCATATCTCTGACTTGTATATATGGGTGAATGTGTGTGCACCCATGTGTGCGCTGTGTGAGGCTGTCATTCACATCAGAGTGTGTTCTTGTGTGTGCTTTGTTTTGGCTGTGGGGCTGTTGGTGCTGCCCGATAATGTCTTCAATCATCTCTCCTGTCAACACGGCTAAATCTAGCTGCCCTTGGGAAAAGTTGTGAAAAGGTGAGAGCCAATATTGACAAACAAATAAATTCTGACAGAAGGGTGACTTTTGGGCAATTGGTCAAGGCCACAGATGTGGGCCTGTGGGCATGAGCTGTAAAACCGATGCTGGATGAGACACTGTGTGTTTTCTTATATTCTCCTTGTCATGTGATATATTGCAATATTAATATGAATATAAGAGGAGGCACTTTTTCAAAATGAGTTTGATTTCCATGGTATATGAAACAATTACCAACAGTTTAAAACAGTTGTGGCCTAAAGAAAACAAGTTTTTATTTTTCTAATATTTAAAGTGAGGAACTAGAAAAACGATGTGCTGAATTAGTAGGACCATCAAGCGTCTGTGTGCGGTGCTGCGTCAAAAGGAATATTTGAAATGTAATCACAGCGTAAAGCACATAATGATAAAAGCTCTCCCGTATAGTTATTCATGCAATGCAATGGAGCTTCAGAATGATCTCACGTGGCTAAATATAAAAGTTGTCAAGTGTTTTGTGCAAATGCAGTAACCTAGCTTTGCCTGGAATGAGAAGAGACATGAAGGCCTGATGCAGCTCTTCAGGTAATTACCGCAGACATGAAGAGGAGGAGGAGGAGGTGGGATGGGATTGGAGTTTGCAGTGCACTCGATGGCTACTTCATGTTCTCATTTCCATATGAACAGTGCTCTCTGCAGCTATTTGCGTCAATCAGGAAGCCTCATCTTCTGTCTCTTCTGCTCGCTTAACTGCCTCAACTTATTTTTTCTTTCTATTTTGAGAAAATAAATATGTAGTGTGTGCTGAAAGCTATGTAGGCTTCATTAAGAATGTGGTTACAATAAGAAGAAAGCCTTGAAGTCTGCAAATTCAGTATTACTATTCTCTTCTGATTCCAAGTCACCAGGGGAGAAAGTAAATGTTTTAACCTACCTCCTCCAAATTCATCTCATCTGGACTGTCCCAGGGTTTGAAAAACTTCCCAGTGCGCTGCTTCTTGAGAGGTACTACTACAATAAAATATCCCCTGAAAAAATTTAGAACATGTTATCATTGTAGACTAGGATGAACAAATACTGCCTCTATTCAGAATGCTACTTTTGGAAGTCAGTTGATGCAGTGGTCTCCAAAAACAAAAGCCAAATGATACTAAGAAAAAAAAAAAAACAGACAAAACAAATGCATGAAAGGTGTGTGATTTCTAATCATTCAATTAGAACAACTTTCGTTGTTTCTTGTTTTAAATATGCTCAGAGAAAACATATGGTGTGGTTTCACCTCTCTGAGATCTCTTGGGGTCTTAGTAAGAGGCCTCTGTATATGCAGTAAATAATACAAAATTAAAGGATTTTGTAGCTTTTCATCAGGGTGATGAGAGAGAAAACGGTCAAACTTGAGCTATATGGCTGGGCATTGCACACGCTAGCATTAGCCAGCATGGCAGTTAGGTAGGCTAATGGAAAACTAATTAGCTTAAGCCCTGGCATGGGAAACAGCGGGCCAAGTGCATCCAGCAACATCAAAAAACCCAAGATGATTTTGAAGCTTCAGTCTGCAATCGGATGTGCTCCTTGGCCTTCTGACAACTATGGGCTTTGTTGAAAGGCTGTAAGAGACTTTATACGGCTTAGAGGAGTGTGCTTAAATGAGTGGGACTGCTCCAGTGTGTAATGACTGAGGTGAAGTGGATATTACACTGAAATGTAGGGATGAATATAAATGACTGTTTGGGAAGAATCACCTCTGACAAGGTGAGTTGTCATGTCAAGTTGTTTATTTCCATTCGCGTTGCATCAGTTAAAAATGGTTGCAGACATTAAAAATAGATAGAGGAAGCTGCCAGTGATATTGCCTGATTACAAGTAAAATGTGACATTTTTGTGGTCAATTAAAAAAAATAAATTATGATTCCTGGGTTCTGTCAATTACAAGAGGTGAAAGCCACTACAGTGATGATTAGAATGACATTTTCTCTTGTTAACAGTTTCATTGGTTACACTGTGTGGAAAAACCCCCCAACACAAATCAATAAATTTCAAGGGCTCCAAAAAAGGCTCCATGGAAATTCCCTTTCCATTGGCAGTTCATTCTTACCTAACTCTCTCAGATGTCTGCACTGATGGTAGCTCGACAGTCACCATGCCATCTGAATTTGTCTTGCCAATCAGGTAGGGTTTAGTGCGGAGGACATCTGGGGCTGTCATGGTAGACACACGATGCTGCAGACCACCAGCACTGTTTCCACGATTGGTTAGGAGGAACGAGTACTGTGTCTCAGGTTGAAGACCAGTGATTAACTTTTCTGTTAACTTCCCATCCACCTCCACGCTCTGCCCATTGTCATAGAGGATCTGTACAAAAAAAGTCGATGACTCATGTAGACCCTGCTGTTATATACTTTTATATCGACTTGAGTTGCAGTTCGTATATTTAGTTTGGTAATGCTCACTGTGAAAGGTTGTGCTGGGTTGTAAGTGTCTGGAATCTCCCATGTAAGTAACACTGATGTCTTCATAGCAGCTTTCACATGAAAGTTTTTTGCAAACACTGCTAAAAGAAAGGGGGAGCAGGTGATTTAGACACAATGCATTATTTGTTTCTGACTATTCCAAGCTAGTGCTTACCTGGAAATGTCTCCTTCAAAACCAGACTGATAGCAATGCTATGCTGAACTCAATACTGTTCTTACCTTCTTACCAACACCGGCTCTTAAATATTAATGACTGACCTTTGCTCAACTGACAAGACACAAAGAGACATACATACTTACTTCATGTGATTTCTTAAATCATAGATCAAACAGACTAATGAAAGGGCAGCATGTTAATACCAAAGTCTTCTGGTTGAGTCAACTTCTGCCATTTTGAGGTGCTCAAAACAAGTTGTGGTTGGACAATGCTGAGCAGGGAAAGGCTGATTTTTAAAAGGGTAAAGGCTAAAAAAGTTCAGGGACTGGTCCTACCTTGATCCACAGGCTGTGTCCTGAATTGGACACTTGGGCTATAGGGACCAGGACCCTTGCTGGTGAAGGCACACATTTTAATATCATAAGTGGTGTCTGCCATAAGGCCATCCAGGGTGACGGTTGATTCCGGAGCAGTGATGAGGAGTTCTGAGGGGCTGCGTGGGCTGTTGATGTCTTTATACTGCAGAACGTATTTCACTATTTTGCCATTTCGCTCTGCCAGTAAAACAGGCTGCCAGCTAACCTGAATGGTGGAGGTGGTGGCACCCTCTGCTTTAATGTTCTGCGGGTAGCCGCTTGGAACATCCTCATTCGTTGTCACTTCTTTGACCGTCTCTTCACCAAATCCCACCTTGTTGCGAGCTGAAAGACGGAAAGTGTAAGAGGCTCCCTTATGTATCTCCTTGGTTGTGTAGTGATTCTCTCGATCTGGGAACTCGATAACAGTCAGAGGATCCACGTCTTTGCGGCCAAAGCGAAGGCGATAACCTTGCAGGGGCCCGTGTGTTACTGCTGGGGGATGCCACTGGAGGAGAGCCGTGCCCATGTTGGTTGTACTGATCATAAGTCGAGGTTTTTCTGGAACTAATGGCAGTCAGGGAGAGAGGGAAACTTTTGTTTTAGAAAAAAGGAGAACTATCTTGTTTGGTGGTATTTTTGTATGTTAGCGTATTTCATTTCAAGATGCATTTTGAGGTAGTAGTTTTCTTTTTTAGTTTGTCTTTCACAGTAATTCTCAATCACCTTAAATGCCATTTTGCCTTTTCATACCAAATAAGTCATCTATGCCAGTGAGGTTAAAATAGACTGTATCCACACGTTGCATGCTCACTGAGAATGGTCACACTGAGTATGGCATATTGCAAACACTTTCTTTTCATTAGTTTGCCAAATGGAAATGGACTTTTTATATGAACTATGCAAGGCAACACATATTTCTTATCAATGATAGTTACATTACCTGCACCAGTGGTGGTTATTAGTTTTGGCTTGCTGCGTGCACCATCACCCTTTGTGGTATAGGCTCCCACTGTAACTGAATATGTGGTCTCAGCCTGCAGCTCTGTGATGATCATTTCCTGAAAAGATACAAAACTTGAACTGTAAAACTTTCATTTCCATTTGCTGATATAAATATGCTACAGAGAGATAGAGGTGGGATGTGATGGCACTGTCATCATGGAGATTTTTTTTCAGCATATACTTAAATCTGAGTCACACTTCACTGAGTAGGAGTGGAGTTATGTTCCAAAAATAACTTCAAGAACAGTCCTTTTTGTGTGGCACAAAGTGACTGTCAGGTCATGATGATGAAAACATTTTTGCATGTACAATGTCATCAGTTCATTGAATGTCCTCGAGGTACAATGTTCATCAAGATGTTCCTTGACTATAAAACAGTTTCAACTACAAGACGGTTGAATATCCTCTTAGTCCTTTGTACCACAATGCTTTTTTTTCAAATAGTTAAGTGTTGGAAAAAATGCCATGATGCAGATTATGAAGGCAGGAGAAAGTAACACCAGAATTTGTCCAAGTTTAGCTACTTACATGGTCAGTAGAATCGTCAAATTCCCACTGATTGTAATGTCAAAGTTCGGAGAGGAAAAAGAGAAAACAAATAAGATATTTAAAAACTACAAAAATGTACACGGATTCATTGTCTACATCACCAACAAAAATATTTACAGCAATATTTGCAGTCTGATTTGAATGGGGGTAGATTTACATACTGACTGTGTCTTGTTAATATCATTAATCTAAAATAAGTTGTGTAAGTTAAACTATCAGTAGGCTCAACAGTTAAAACAAATCAGATATTGCTTTTGCCCATATAAAGGTGAGAGAGACAAAGCAGAACAATGTGCCTGAAGAATGAGGTGGCTGGCAGTGGGGGGTGTTGTACCTGGGCATCATCAATCAGTATGTCCTTGATGACTGGCTGTCCTGTAGGCTCCCCATTAACCATCCTGACATAGTGCACCTGGTATCCTCGGATCTGACCGTGCTGCTTGGTGGGCATCGGAGAACGCCAGATCACTTTAATTGATGAGGAGTTGACAGCCTCCACCTCGACTTTACGAGGTGGCCCACTAGGAACTGGAGGAACACCATGGGATAGAAGAAAAATGGTCAAAATTATATAGAACCCCTTCACGAGCTTAAGCCTTTCTCATACGGTAGCTCAAAATGCTGCAGTGATCCCCCCCACCCCCGAAAAAAAAAAGTGCACAAAAGTGCTGTACACTGCAGCAAATGCTGCGTGACACGGATATTTCAACAATGGTAAGGGGAAAAAAACAACAGCAAAAACAGGTCTTACAATTGACCCAATTTGAAACATTAAAAATGGTTAGAGTGGATCTTAAAAACATGGGATAAAAATGCCAAAAATAGAAAAGTGGAGCCAAAAAGGGCTTCAAGAGTTTTGAATGCTTGAAGCACAAGAAGAATTTTGGCTAGGAAATAAGGGAAAGTATGAATAAAAATGATCATTTCATATGGGAGGAGAAAAAAAAAAATCCAGATAATTTTTTGATAGTCCTTCTCTCCAGAACTTGTCCTGTTGTCAAGTTCCTGAAAAAACATGTGGGCTAGTGAAAAGTATGCCATCCAAAATTGGAAGGTAAAAAAAGCTGCAGTTAAAAAGAAAAAACTGGTCATTGTGAAAGGTGTAGGCCTGCAGCTGAAAATGCCATACCATGTGTTGAAATTGTGCAGCATAAAGGCGGAAAAATGGCAAAATGCTGCCTTTGTGAATCACAGTTTGTTTGGGGCAAAAAACAAAAGAAAATCAAAAACCAGAAAAAGGTCCATTGTCCAGAATGTGGTTTATAGAATTGTATCGATTTTAGAAGAAGGCAGAGGGTGAAGAAAAGAAGAAGAAGATACAGGTAGCAGTTAGTATTTGACGGGGAAGGTATAGAGAGGAAGACTGAGTTTACAGCTGGAGCTTAGTTTTAGCGAACACATACCATCCTCCTCTGTTCGGATGAGCTGTGGAAGGCTCTCCGGTCCTGCTCCAACATCTGTATGAGCAGTGACTGTTACACGGTACTCTGTCCATTTTTCCAAGTTTTCCAAAAGGAATTGGTAGCTTTCCGGTGGGATGCTGGAGATTTGATGAGTAGCAGGATCATCCCCTTCGGTCGCAGCATACTGGATGGTGTATTGTGTTATAATCCCATTTTGTAATTCCACTGGGGGGGGCCTCCAACTTACCAGGATATTGGTGGAGCTGGGGCTATAGCACTTGACTTCCTGAGGTGGGCCTGTTGGTTCTGCTTTGTGGATTGGTTTTGTAGATGAGCAGTTTTTTTTTCCATTGTTTTTTTTGTTGTTGTTGTTGTTTGAGGCCATTCATTGGGTTGGGATTGTTGTTTTCAAAGGAGTTTCAATGTTTTATTTGATCAGGGTGGTTGTGGCAGAATTGACCAAACAGAAGAAAACGAAAAGAAAAATGAAAATGAAATGAAATGATGAAAAAGCACAACACTTATGGGGGTAAATAAAAATTATTTTGAAATAGGGTAACATCACAAATAAATATAAAACAAAAGGTAATGACAATCACAAAAATGAACAAATATGTGACAAATGGACAACGTTGATTGGAAAAAGTGCAACTTTACAACACAGCACGTCACCTACCTTTTTCTTTATATAAAAAATAACAGAACATTTAAGTAAAACAAAATGAAATATCTGGCTCTGGATAATTCTTACTTGAAATATCTAATGCTAATGAATTCAAATGATATACTTTAACGTAAAGACGTAACTTTAGTTAAATTATTTACATTTTGCAAGCAGTTACCATCAATCCAAAAACATAAAGGTTGATGCTGCAGCTGATTTAAAATAGAAAAATGTTTTATTTGTCACCAACCTTTCCGAAGCCTGTTGGTTTGTGGTAAAAGCCTGATTGTACAACAGAGAACTTCCCAAGGAGACATGACTGATGTATTAGATGCTGATAACATTGGCATGCATATTTTTTCCCTTAGAGTCCTTAGAATATATGTCCAGGCATAATTTTAATGTATGAGCTTTCATACCCACCTGAGCTCTGCCTCTGTATGTCAGAGTCCTCAGATTTATGCCACTGCCACAAACTCAAATACAATAATCTATTTTTTTAATTCTTTTTTTAAATCATAGTTGACTGCTGTTCAAAAGCAGTCCAATTTTTAACTAAAACAAATTAGTAAAAATTCAATTCAACAGTTGCATACATCAGAGGCCTTGAGGTTCTTGCTACCTACGGAGACTATTCTTGCTTTGAGCTTTCTGTAATGTAACTCCAAAACTGTATTGACTCTAATCTGAATGGATCATTCATATTACAGTTGAAGGAAATGTGAAAGTCAGTCAGTTTCTACTGTAAAAGTTACATAGAAAGCTCATTCTCAAAATTAAAGTATTTTCCTGTTTAGGCTTACACACTGTGTCAACAGACAAGGCTCCCTAAAGGCCAACCAGGCCCACTGATTAATATAAAGGCAACAAATAGGAATATTCATGTAATTTAGGACTTAATTTTTTAAGTCCAAGACTTAATAGACACAACAAAGTTGAAGTGTGATGGCTTTTGATAGCCTTGTCTTCTGACCTTTGCAGGAAAGCCTGATCACACTGACCATGCAACCTTTTTCAAGGTAAATGCTGCACAGTCAGATCCATATTAATACACTTCTTTTTTGTTTAAAAGATTACATCTCTAAACATTTTCAAATGCATCTGACGTAAAGAAAAATGCTTTATCTGAGTTTAGTCAGGCGTTGCTGACATTTCTGTCCCTTTTATGATTTCCAATGCATTTGAAAATGTGTTTATTTCCAAACAGTTTCAGTTCTGTCAGATAAGGAAGAAGACCTACGTGTCTGTGGAGTTTCTGCAGAGATCTCACTGGTGTAAGCTCCAACTCCATGTTTGCTATGGGCTGCAAGCCGAAAATAATAAGTAGTGAAGGGCTTCAAGTCCTTCAGTAGATATGTTGTTGTTGGTTCAAAGCTGACCCGTTTCTGCAAAGAGAGTTTGGCTTTGTCATATATTATACATAACGGGAAATGTGTAAAAAAAAAGAAAAGAAAAGAAAAGGGGGGAAAAACACATAAAACTGCTTTCTTTATCATAAAATGGAAAATTGACAATACTTTGTTGATTTGTGATTGTAATATTATGACAGATTCAATTGTGGACTTTATGGGACTTTTGACATTTTAGCTGTTACTGTACACATACACATAACGCATATATTCTAAACATTATATACATCTGCTGTCATGAGACAAACGATAACGGAGCATGTCTGTGATCTTTTAAAATCAGGCTCGTAAATATAAATTACATAAGGCAACATCGTTAGGGGGAAATCAACATAAATGAACACAGCAAAAAAGTTGGTTCGATTTTGAGCATTTTATATGCAATTAGAATTGAAAGGCTTGACACAGTGAAACAATGCATGTGAAAATGTACCTCCTCTTTGTCATCTTTCTTCCGGTACATCAGCTCATATCCTGTGACTGCATTTTCTTGTCCAGTTTGTGGTGGAGCATTCCATGAAAGTAAAATACTGGTTTCTGATTTGGCCTCTCCTTTGAAATCAGTCGGCTGGGAAGGAACTGGAGTTTGCAAAAAAAAAAAAAAAAAAATTCATTGCAACATTCCCTCTCAATTTGAAAAAAAATGTAACAGGATTTATGCAGAAATATCCACATTCTTTTGTCTGAGGATGCAGTTCTGTCACTGCAGAAAATATAATTAGAATATCAAAATAAACCCACCTCCAGTCTTTGCAATTATTTGCAGGTCCGGAGAGAGAGGCCCATCGCCCACTGACGTATAGGCCAAAACCTTTATGTAGTATGTCTTATTGGGAATGAGACCCTGGATGGTGACAAAGTTTGATCCCCGAACAATCTGCTTTTCCCAGAAGTTAACATGTTGGGTGGAATCCATGGTGTAGTAGACTCTGTAGCCCATTATCTGTCCATTAGCCTCTTCTGGTTCATCCCACTGGATGACGGCTGTGGTGGCACTCATCATGTGACCTCGGACCTGCCTTGGTGCAGTGCTTGGAGCCTGCTCTGCTGTTTTGGCCTCTATGCTCTCGCTGGGCGGTCCTCTTCCAATGTTATTTACAGCCACCACGCGAAACTCATAGTCAGAGTAAGGGCTCAGGCCGCCCACGCTGTACCTAGTTGTGGCTACACCATCAATCTCCTTGTACAAGTCCTCTGAGTTCTTGGATTTGTGTTGGATGATGTAGTAGGACACTGGCTCAGGATTGCCAGAGTCCCATGTCAGTGTTATACTTGTAGCTGTACGCTCAGTCACAACAGGGATGCCAGGGGCCTTAGGTAATGCTGTGATGAGGATTCATACATAACTTTGAATTAGACTTTGAAATATAATGTTAACATTGCACAAGTAGATCTTTGTCGACTAATTTATTTTAAAAGCTGAAGACTCCTACAAACCAAAGACAAACAGAGGCTTGTATTCTCCGTGTTCAGCATTTAACAGGGCTGTTGTTGTTGTTAATCTTAGACTTCTCTTTATCTCTTTAATAATTAAACACGTGAATTTATTGGTTTAATTCCCAACACTGTGGCGCGCAGCAAAAGATATCAGGGCTATAGATTGTCTTTATATGCCATCTAAAGTAGGCTACTGGGGGACCTGACTGACTGTTATATTGTGACTAATATCTCTATGTTATGTCTCAGAAAATAAAACCGAATGTGTGTGTGTGTGCTCCAGTTTGTCCCTTGTGTGCACAACAACCTGGTGACACAAATCTGGGATCTTTCTGGTACACTACAGTGTAGATATGGTTACTCTCAGATAAGTTCAGTGTCTAAAGAGGACACCAAACCATACTCGCAACCTTTGTCCCTGAACATGTACCCCCTCATCTCTGCATCTTGCAAGCATCTTGGTGAGCTTGTGGCTCTGCAGTTCTACAACTGAGAGATAAGCACTTCACTGTATTCTAGTTTCAAAGGCACTGCGCTTGGAGGTGAGGCTTGTGTAAAGCCTTAAGTAAAGCTCTGCAAATGGTATGATGTTGCAATAAAGGGTACGCTTCCCTAAAACATTGACAATAGTTTCTGCTTAAATTGTTTTGTAATTACTATTCCCGCTCAAAACTGTATAATCTAAATACTGTTGCTGTGAAGTCAATCACGAAAAAGATCCACTTCTGTCCTCTTCTACAGAAATAGCAGTCTTTAAACTGCAGCCAATTATAAAGGAGAGTGATGAGAAGAAGTGTTACCTTTTACTGTTATCTGTGCTACAGCCTCTATTACCCCCAGGGTTGACATGGCCACACATGTATAATTGGCTGACTGTCGGACATCTGTGAGCTCCAAGACATTACGTCCAATAGGCATATCATCCTCTGGAGTAAGGTCCTCAGCGCCCAGCATCCATTTGACATATGGCATGGGCGAGCCCACTGCCACACATGTGATATTGACACTGCCGCCTGGCATGATCTCATTGTCTGTCGGTGGTATGGAGAATCGTGGTGGCACACGGCGCACTGAGAATAAATAAAAAACAAAGCAAAACATAGTGAAAAACAAACTGACAATGGAATGTCTCAGATTCTGTTCTGTAATTCTGTCTTAACTGTCTTTGAATTACATCCAAAAGTCACAAAAACAACATTTTAACTAAAGAACAGAAAGTGAGTATGTTTCGCTATATAAACGTGAGTTTTAGAGTAAGTTTATTTATATCTAAATGAATGGGTAAACACCAACACAAACGCATGCACAAAATACTGAATAACCATCGGTACATCTATACAGAACTGTGCTGAGAGAGTCAACAGCACTCCACAGGTGCAGAGAAACATCTTTTAAGCATTTGCAGCTGATGTGAGACAATGTGCCGCATCACATTCTCACATCACACAAACACAAAAGTACATCTGAGTCTAGCGCAACATCATAGAAGGTTGTCTTTCTGTGGTATTTCTGTTAAATCCAAAACCCTAGCTCTGTCAAATGTTATGCATCCACTTCAGATGAACTTCAGAGTGAATTAGAATCACTAAAAGAAAATCAAATTAGCTAATATTGCCAGCTACTATTCCATGATTTGTGTACAAATCGTGGAAGATTAGAAGCCTCAAATAGTTTGTTCCAGGTCATTCGTACTGTCAATAATCCCAGGAAGGTGGCGAAGGAACATAAACGTTTAAAAGTTACCCTATATTATAGAACTTAATTGTCACCTCTAAGTACAGACACACAATATACATCCTCTCTTTTTACTGTGAATTTCAGTGAAAAATGACATGTCAGCTTATCATCGGAGGAACAGTTATACTGGCTCATAAAGCATTAATATTCCCCACCTCCTTACATTCCTTGGTTCTACAAATCAATCTGTGCCTGACAATGAATCAAAATCATCAGCATTAATGATACTGATTCAACCCATTTTCATAAAGAGACAAGTTTCTAATTGCAACTATACAGAAAAGGCCAGCTGTGATTGTTCACTTTAAGAGTTGTAGCAAAGCAATATGTCACTTGATACTTGAAGACATACATCTGTTTTATCATGAGTCTTAAAAATGCTCAAGTGTCTGGCCTGGCTTTTGAGCATTATAAGTAAGAATTCTGAAGCCTTTTAATATAATGAATTATGTTGTTGTTAGTCTGGATTAACAAATGCATATCATTTGACAGCTACAGTGGATACACATTTAAGAAATATTCCCAAAATGAAAGGATGAAAGTCAACAATATCAAAGAGGAAGTTACACTTTTGAGTGAACTTAAATCTTTAATTCAATGAACAAGTGGTTGGCCTGGCAGCTTTATATGGAGGAGCAATCCATTATGTCCATCATGCTTCCAATAATAACTTGACACTATGTGAGGCAACCATGTAAGGGACTCGAGGAGAGGGCCGCATTGTAAAATATCTAATAAAAGGCTATTACAAAGAAGGGCTTAATGTGCTGTAGCACATGCTAAAGGTCTTGGGAGTAGTGAGTGGGCAGAGAGAATAAAAAAGAAAACAAAAGCATCTCAGGGGAAATCCTGAACATATTGTTTGTCCTCAGGTTTTATCAGTTAGGATTTGTCTATACAAATATGTAAACATGTAAAGAACATAGGCACAAACAGACAGGGACATCCAAGTAATATTATACAACTTAAAGGGAGCATTCCGGTTATAAATAAAGTCAGTGTTACTGCTCATAGCATCTGAAATATATTAGTTTTCTTGGGTAGGATTGTTAAAGAAAACCTAAAAAAAAAATGCTGCAATGTGTGACTTTAAATCCTCTAAATATGTATATATATATATGCTTTTTAATTAGCTATTTGAGAATGTATGTAGTGGAACTGACGATAAACAATGCACTACCAACTGCCTGCTGGTGATGCACAAAGCCCATTCTCTGGAGCAGACTACAGCCCTCTAGACGAAAAATCAAGGGGAACTGCTTGCATTATTAAATACTGCATTTTTCTCACTCAATATTTAATTAATATCCAATTGGATCAAGTTCCCCACAGACATAATATTATCCTTCTCATTTGAATATCATTACATTTGTCAAGACTTGTGGATAACAGTCTAAATGCATCATTCTTTCATGACTTCCTGAGCAGTAACATCCTCATCCATGGAAATGTATAATCTCTGCAGGCAAGATTATTTTTTACAGCTTGATGCTTTACTTTAGTGCCAATTATAGCCAAGGATGGATTTGTTTTTTAGCTTATTTTTTATCTATGAGAAAATTCAGTTGGAAAGATTGCCAAAAGGAAATTGTTTAATGGCTATATGCAGATAACCCTCAACCATTTAGTTCCTGTTTTCTTTTTAATTTCTCCTGAGCCCAACAGTCTGCTTTAAGTCAAAGAAAAAACACAAGCAGGAACACTGACAGGGGTAAACTTGTGAAAAAGGGATGAGTAGTTCGAACATTATAAGGTAGAACATGCAAATAGACTGTCAGGCAAATGCAAATATCGTCCCAACGTACCACCTCGAAGATGCAAACATGCACCACCTGTTGGACAGTCAAGCATTCTGACGAGAACCAGGGACATTCTCAATGGGAACATGAGTACTTAATGTGCAATGGAAACAGAAATTGTACTTTGCAAACGTTGGAC